GAATCTCTTCCTCCCCACCTCCACCTGTACACACTACTTTCACTCTGTCCTAGTTCATACTTGCCTGCTCCATGCCTTGTTTCTCATTTGGGGTGGCCTGTTTCCTCAGCTATATGGATCAGGGTAGTGAGAACTTACAGACCCTATGGAACTTTTAAGATATAGGTGAAATCTTACGCAACTGTCTATGCCTAATACCTGCCCTGGACACTAATTTGGAGATGCCCTGACGTTTTCATGGCTCTCAGTTCCTTTTAGCTTTCATCTGCCATGAAGACAGTTGGAAACTGGACTCAGCTGGACACATTTCCTATATAGGTAACACCTTAATCACCATGAATGTAATAGGTGTTTCAGCAGGTCTAATGTAAAGACCGAAGCCATGATCAGAGTGGCCTAACCTGAAACACCAGAATGCCTGTGTTGGCAACTGCCAGGTTGATCTTTGTTCCTTCCCTGTCCTTTGCTGGATGCAACCGAATTCCATACATCTCCAGCCGACGGGCAATCTCTAGCAACTGGAAATCTGATTCTGCTGGTGTCTGTCCCCTGCAGAAACAAAAGCCAAGAAACCTAATCCTTATTAATTTGTGATCAAGGGCCCCAAAAAACATTTTATGAGATAGTACCCATCTGCCCCTTTCATTCTACCTAACTTCCAGCAACTACAACAATAGGTCTAGCATAAGGAATAGTAGTCAAAAATGCAAGATTTCTTAAAAGGAACTCTTAGTGCCTCAATTTTTGCATGCCCAACTTTAGATACCATAAAGGATTTTGACTTTTTCAAAAATGCTGAGCTGCCTTAAACTAAGACAGATTTGGAAGAAATGAGAAGTATGAGAAACAGTTCCTCCTGGAACTATTTAGCACATCTGCAGTTGAACAGGCAGATCTCAGATTGGCCTCCTCAGTCATCCACAGACTCACAAATTACATCCTATTTGCTGGAAAACTGTCATCCTCATATCGAGAGACTACCAACAACCAATACAAAACCAATTTCCACTTAAAATACAAGTAAGCATACATGGAGAAGTCTGGGCATCAGAATTTTAGCCATCATATCCCTGCTTGGTTTTTTTTTTAAGATAAAGAACATACTATAAATAAAAATGTTTCAGTTTTAATCAAACACTCTTGCTGGTGAACTCAGAAGCCAGCTAACCAGAGTATATAACCTCAAAACCACAGAGAGGCTTATATACCTCAGCCAAAAGAATTGTAACCTTCGAACATTACAGTGTGAAATGACAGAGACGTTATTGTGTACACAAGTCAGTTTTCTATTTGCTTGTCCATATCTTCAAACGTTACATTTAAATTCTGTATTATTTATATGAACAAGACCATAGATCATATTGTGAAAAGATTCATAAAAATGAAAGATGGGAATAGTATAGCACATAACTGATTGAGAAGAAAAAAAATGTGGAAAGGGGTAAACAAAACAGTCAACACTAAGGGTGGTGAATGTACATTTTTGGGTCCCATATACATTAATTTCTTCATTATTAAATTATGCAGCAGTCCTGGTTGAGGTAACTGCTCATATAAAAAACAAAGTCATGACAACTACCCAGACTGTTTAGTTGAAATGCAGCAATGTCCGTTTTGAACGGTGTGAAAGCAGAAATGTGTGTCCTTCAGTCTTTACGGCTTCCTTCCAAACCAAACCACCAAACCAAACCAAACCCTTACTTCAATTCCTAATAAGATTTTATATTCTATTCGCAGAATCTCTCAGACTTCCCCTCAAGATTCTAAATGAAGCCCTCTCCTCCTGGAAGGTGAAAAGGCCGTAATTCCATGTCCTTGAAATCAATGAGATTACTGACAATCACCTGCATGATAAGGGTCATCATTTGTAATCAGATCTGTATATATTAAATCAGCAGTGAAGAGTTTTATATAAACCAGGCTCTGAAAACAAGTGAAGGCTTGAATGAAAAATCAGAGCTGACTGATACTCCCGTACGTTGAGAGCACAAATAAAAAAAGTAAGCATAGGAAAAATTCATAGGCCTGAAAGTCATCTATAAATAAAGCCTATTATAAATTTACAGCTAGAATTACACTGGATGCAAAAGAAGCTAACAAGAAAAAAAAGCTGGGACTTACATATGATTCAGGTGGAATTCCATAATTTTGTCTTCTAGTGCTTCTTGCTGAGGTATATACTTGTTCTTTGCTAAGTGTTCACGATCTATGGTTTCATCGAAATCCCCAATCTCAGCTAGAGAGAATGCAGGGGACGGGGAGGCAGAGGAAATCAAAAGATATATAGTCAGATAAACCAAAAGACAGATAACTAGAAACATGGCAGAGAAATAAAAATATTTGTTCAAAACCTCAGCATGGTTTTTTATAAGGCATATTTATAAGGCATGTCATTTTCCAGATCTGTCTTTCTTGTCTTCTTTATGAGTAAGAAGAACAGTGAGAGGTGGCTCAGTAGGTAGAATGTACACTTGCACAGATGAAATATTCATAAAGCTATGTTGGCTTGGGTATAAATCAGGAGCTGGCATGTAAGACAGGCCACCAACTTGATGAACATTTTAGTGGAATAGGTCCATTTTGTTGCTTTCACTGTGACACTCAATACAACTTCATTTGCTCCAGAACAATGATCTCTCCAGAACTCCATCTTAAAGCCCTTTCCAATTATGCACTATGGCAGGGTTGTCTAACTTCTACGCCCCTGGGGGAGGGGGCGCATGCTGTGGGTGCTACACACCATACAGACCATACCAGGCAAGGCATGGGCCACTGGGCAACTTGCCCAGTGGATGTTCCTCTACCCCGCTTGCTATATGGCTATACTCACACAGGCACTCCCTCCACTGCTGTACCACATGGGCACAACCCCTCTCCGTGCACAGCCCTGGATTCACCCTCAGCTTCCCATGTACTAATCCATGTACTAACCCCTCAGTGGAAGCAAGAAGCAACAGCTGGAGGAGGAAGAGGGAACCCAGAGACTCTGTCTGCTGTTGCAGCTTGAGCAATAGGGGAGTGGTGGCTTGGCAGGAGCCTGAGAGCCACAACTTAAACTCTCACAGGTCACACATAGCCCATGCCAAAGGCTGTAAGTTGGACAGCCTTACATTATTGCAAATTTTAAAAATATTTGTTTTGATTCTTTGATTAAATACAGTCATACAGTGCATCCTGCACAGTTATGAAGCCTTATCCCTGATGGACTGTAAAATAAGAAAGGCATGCGTGATGCTTCTTTCCCTTCCGTTTTAATGCATTCCTGTGAACTGAGTTTAATAATTTTCCCAAATAAAGTTGCTGCCATCTGCTACATTTGTTTCAGTAATAATAAGCATGAAAGCTTGCTAAATAACATACCTTCCAGCCCTGTCACATTACCACATTACCACTTTGCTTTTTCTTTGTGAAATCTACTTATGGGAATCAGACAAAATATTTAATAGCATAATGTTTCCTTCTGTATTGTAACTTACTGACAAGCTTCTGAAGGCATTGCTATTGGTTACTTCATTGAATTATATCCCCCCAGTCCATTCTGGTTCCAATGTTCTGGGAAGAACAATACTTTGAAGGCTGTTACTGTTCTGTCCAGCCTGTGTGAATGAGCACTGACAGACCACAGTTCCCACACTTGATTTTTTATCAGTGCACTAAATTAAAATCCAGAGAACATGTGCAAACAACTAATACATTCTACAGCTTTCTTAAATCATATACTTTCTTGATACTTCCAGAGTTCAGAAGTGAAAAAAAATAATAAATGAAAATATTATTTCTCACCCATGAGCTTCAATGCTCTTTCTGCATAGTTTTCCTCAGTCCCTATTTTCTAAATTTCAAGAGACTCAAAGTATTGCTGCCTTACTATTGTATCACTGACTTCCATTACAGTCATTATATCTGCCTTCTCTAAATCCATTTCAAAATTGTTCTCTTGGCATTAAAATTGTTGTCTCCTAACTTGTGCTCACCTTCATAAGCTGTTTTTTAATACACGAGCTAATGTCATAGCAACTCATTTGCTGCTGTCATAACATGTTTTTATATTAAGAGCAGGCTGTAACATCAGTATAACCCACAGATTTACCCCTCAGAAAAAGATTCTTGAAAACAGGCAGCCACCATGCAAAGACCTATTCTGCACAACAACTATAGGAACACAGTAATCTTCACCTTCTGCTTCCCTACTCTTCCCAATTTTATATCATCATTATCACCACCTGTTTAATGTTATTTATTATTCTAAAAATGCATAAAATAATTTCTTAGCCACCAAATAACAGAATAGTGAAAATCAAATACAACAAGGAGCATAACAGATGAAATCCAGCTCTAAATACTATTAAGGCAAAATTCTGAGAAATATTTTAGGAGCTATACAATATTTTTAATAAGAGAACCTATCACTTTTGGGCCTGCTTAGTGGGCTCTAGCAAAACAGGTTTGGAGCCAAAATTTCCTCTTACACTTGAAAGAGGAAAAAGTCATGCAGGTTTTTAATTGTACAAGGGAACAGACAATATTAAACTGTAGTTCATTTTAAATAATATTTAAGTATAACCTAATAATATAGCAGATTTTTATATGGAATACTATTTTCTCTTTCCCTGGACTAGGGAAAGAGAAAATAAAACCTACCAACATCAACCCTTTAGAGGACAGGATAGTATTAGTAACGTAACTAGAGAAGAGCGAAAGGGGCACCAGCTCCAGATACCAACTTTGAGGCACACCACTTGGATGATGCTTCCTCTCCTCCAGAGCCTTTGGTGCATCTGCAGCAGCCCTGTCCCCTTTGGCAAGAGGAGCCAACCTGGAGGAGCCCCACGCTACTCAGCTGTAGGAGCCGTGTGCTGGGACACAGCAGAAGCATTCTTGCACCACCAAGCTCAGGAAGCCAAGAAGGAGCAACCCTGAGCTGCCTGACCACTGCAATGCAAGTGGTTGCAGGGACAGCACGGGGGGTAAGACTCTCCTCTGGCCGGGTGGTATGGGGCTGCTCCAGCTCAGCTTCTAGGCCTGTGTCTTGGTACTTAACTCCTACAACTGAGAGGCAAGGGGCTTCTTTGGCTTGGCTCCTATGGTAAGGGCAGAAGAAAGGACTAAAGGGCTGCTCCAAGAACGCTTGTTTCACCCTCCACACCCCTGTGAAGTTTTGTCCAGGGAGCCAAAATACATAGTTACATCTCTGGATAACACTGATGTTTCTGAAATCTCACTGTGTCAAAGACTGAGAATTCCACTGTACACATACCTAATGCACAAAATCCTCCAAAATGTTTTAACATATACTTTTTTAAAAACAAAGTTAATCTTGTTAGGAGTTTAGATCCTGTCTAGATTAGGAAACTAGTGAAACAGTGACATTACCAAAGGCAAGTGGGTAAATCTTGAGCAACTAAGACAGGGATTTTTAAATTGTACTGTTCAAAACCCTGAGTTGTCTTTGTCAATCCATAATTTACTTCACTATTTCCTTCACATTTTGGGAAAAGGAAACGGTTGGTTAAAAATTCAACACTTCCCAATTAACCCTCTAAAATTAACAAAACAAACTTTGAAAATCGCCACCCCAAAACTTAAATTCTGGTGACCAGGGTTTAACATCCTAAGATTTTAAGGTGAAAAAAAAAAGAATAAAAAGTTATTTTTTAAAGGAAAAAACACACTTGAAGTCATCAGCACATATAACAAGAAAGCAAAAAAGAGCACAAGTTCAACAAAATTGAAATAAAATTGGAAGAAAAAATCCAACTGATTTTTCTAACAAGTAAACTTTCATCAGCTGAGAAGTCTTGATCAAACATTGCTTATGTTTTTTTCAATGAAGAAAACATGTTCGTTTCTTCTAGTGATTGAGTCACTATATTTAAAAAAGGAAAGGTCCTTTTTCTTCATTCTGCCTTTCAAAAACAAGGTGTGTAGCTTATTTGAAGGCATGCTATTTCCACGAAAATATGGTAGAGGTTCCAAGACTTTCCTCTCTCCTTTGAATCCTACCCTTCACTGCAGTCTTCTTCCACTTCTAGTGCAGGCTTTGCATCAAGTCCTTGCCTCTTTTAATATGATCCTGTAAATCCTGGCATCTCCCTCTACACACCTTCAACTTGACCATGCCCCTTTGTAGATAATAATTTTACAACTCTCTCAACTCATGTTGTGAACTGTCACTCATCTCTCTATGTATTGATTGTCACCCGTTGCCAACAATGGTCCTCCAAAAGTGAAGCTCTCTTTCCTATCAAAAAGGCATCTTGTGCCATTCTCCTTGATTCGGATCTTGGTTTTGGCCCTTGGGAGTTATTCTTGACCTTGAACTTACTAATAAGAGCGAAGTAGAAGTAGAAAGTACAAAAGTCTCATAATAACCTGCTCCTGAACTCTGAGAGAATTTATACTTGCCTCAACTGCTTCTACTTAAATACTAATTCCTGCCTTATTAATTTTTCATTGATTACTTTCACAGCCTCTTCTGCAAGCTATTGATATCCCTCCACTCTAAACTTCAAGATGTCCAGAATTTTACAGGCAGATTATACTGTCTCTCTAGGGAAGCACAAGAATATAATCCTATCCCCTATCATATCATTTTTACTAGCTTTCTGTCTCACCCCAATTGAAACTTAATCTCCTTTTGCTTCCCATGTGTACCCTCTCTCCTCAGACTCCCCATAGCTGGGGGCATTTCCATATCTAACTGAAACTTTCTCTCTCCTTATGTTCTCTCTAGCCCCTGACTTTGAAGAGCTCTGGTTTTCAATATACTACAATGGGAGCCATAGTTTTAGAAATAACAAGAGTGTTTAAAGCCAGAAGATCAGGACCGTTAGACTACTTAGTCTGATCTCCTGTGCATCATGAACCATTACATTTCACTCGGGTATCTTTATATTGGGACAACCAAATGGATTAAACTAAAGTATTTGAGTCCTCGGGGAACTAAACTGCTGTACTAAAGGCAGAGAAAGGGAGAGAGACTTAGGGTGTCTTTACACATGCTCTGGGATTGGGGTGGAGGGTGTTTTAATTAGAGTGTATAGGTGCCCTTAGGTTTCAGAAAGCCTGGGACACTTGCTATGGCAGGGAATTATTTAGGTGAAATATTCTCAGGAGGTCCTAGCAGGAAATCCATGCATCACACTGCAGAAGGTAGCAACGCCCCCCCTCCCCCCTTGTCAAATCCAGTCTGAGCTCAAAATTCCATCAAAGGAGCAATGAGGCAATTATTTTAACCCGAACCTTGGGGAACAGACTTAACAGTCAAAAATCCAATACAGAGGATTCTCTACACTGCCGCAGAGTGAGCGGGGGATGGAGAGGGAGTCTATCTTGCAGGAGTCCTGCTTCTCCTCTAACCAGTCTTTGATGATTCAGAAGAAGGTTAAAACAAAACAAAACACAGTACATAATTAAGGATCTACTCACTTTGTGATTTTTGCAGAAACTGCTAAAAAAGACTTTTTTTGCGTTCAGTGTGAAAATTGTCCTTCCCCATGATTTTGCGTGGAATCGCCAGAAAAACAAAAAAATTATAAAAATAAAATGTTCATTCCCCAGTGGGAGACAGCAGCTGCTGTGGCCTGGCTGCACAGCCTGCTGGGGAAGGGGAAGCTGCCAGCATGAAGGAGAGCAATCAAGATGGCAACCATCCCCTCCTCTGCTGATTGGCCAAGAGGGCAGACTTTTATACGGGACTGCCCCACTCTGCCAATCAGTGGCGAGGGATGAACTGCATGAAAGGCAGCCCTCTCAGGCAATCAGTGGCGAGGGGCAAGGCTGCTGCGGCCCCTCAGCCAATCAGCAGCAAGGAGGGAAGGGGCGGGGGAGAATGAGGGAAGGGGCTTACCACAAAATCCACAATTTTTACTTCTCCTCCATGCACTTTAAGTAGATCCCTATATATAATGAACGAACTGTAGAGTGAGGTGGGTGGAGGGGAACCTTTCAGGAGACTGGCCAAAGCCCAGAAACACAGGATTTGCTTATTACCTCAGGGCAGAGTTACAAGCAGTATGAATGTACTGAGTGTCAGAGCTCCTGTTCTCTTCATGGCCCACAAAAGGAGGGACTGAACATGGGAATTCAAACACCAGAAGTCTAACAGTCCAGACAGAAATGCATCTCCCAGCTATAACTCAGGATGATTTCTGCAAAGCGCTCTGAGTTGCAGTGTTACCCCAGACCAAACAGACATTCACTGTTGGCTCCAGGGGGAGGGGAATCTCCCTGGGGGCTGGGAGCCTGCAGCCGGGTTCCCATAGTAATGGCCAGGGCTCTCTGCCTGTGCTTGCTGTTTTCGGAATGGGAGGGGGAAAGGCAGCAGAGGGAGCTCATTCTTGGGGCTCCCCACATGGTGCTGAAAGGTGGGGTGGGTGAATAGGAGTCCCCCCCACCTCAGGGGGCTCCAATACACCCACCCTACCTTTAGGGGGGGCTGAAAAACCCTAGACTTAACTCCCTCTGATCCCTTTCCCCACTCCCATTCTGCAAACAGTGACAGGCTGGGAACTCTGCAAGCACAAGTTACAAAAGATGCTACATTTTAGAACATCTTTATCTGATGTCTCATTCAATGAGGGGTCAGATTTTCACTCGATCAGCCATTTTTTAAGTTGTTTGCAGCCATGCACTTGTGTTTGGTCACGGCTATTAACTGCTTTCCGTGGCCAGATCAGGTGAAAACTGTCACTTCTGTCTGCACCCTAAAGTTTCCATTCTGACTGTTAGCTCTTACCTTTACACCTCCAGGTAGTAACATTTCTCCCAAAATAAAACTAATCATATCCTTTATAAAGGCTTCTACTCTCATTTTAAGGATGCCAAAAATGGTGAGTCTTAATTACCCACAATGCTATGAAACTGCAATTCATTTTTAAGTTAAATTCAGTTTCCAGTAACTGGGCCTTTTTACTGTTTTACTAACAAGACTGAAAAGTCCTCAGCATATCTCCTTTCTTGTAGAAGTAACCACATACAGTGATCAAGTCACCATTTTATCTCCTCTTTGATACAATGAATAGAATTCAGCTCTTCAAGCTTTATATTGTAAGGCTAGTTTTCCACATCCTTCAGAATTGAATCCCATTTGTGGTCTTCCCAATGCTGTTTACAGAGAAGGCAAGATCTTATCCCTACCTCTACTTGATATTCCCGTTTTTCCAAAGGTCAAATTAGCCCTATTTGCCACAGCAAGTTAAGGCAATTGTCTTTGCTCAGACTGAGACACTTTCCAGCTCCTTACAACTTCCAGGGAAGAGTAAGTAAAAATGACAGGAAAAGAAAAATGTTAGTTCATTTCTGTTATGATTTTGCTGAGTCCCATTTATGGAAAAGCTGAGCAGCAGAAAACATTCAACTTAAAAAAAACAAAACAAGCAACCCCCCCCCCCAAAACATTCAGCTATACACCACGACACAGGTTGCTCATTTTATTTATTTACAGTTTGTCTTTTGCTACTGCTTAATCACATAGGCTGGTGGAGGCCAAAGCAAAGAGAACTGTTGGCATCTGCTTATAGGCTAAAGATTGATATGGGATGAAAAAGCCCTACCACCAAACAGACCACTTCTGACACTGGATAGTGGGATTTATCTGTTCCTGACAGAAAAGTATTTTGACAGCCTTTGTTAGCTGAGTAGCTATCTTACTGTCAGCACTGAAGTAGAATATGTGGTGCTGCAGTTTACAATGGCTATTCAAAGTAATGATCTATTATGACTAAACAATTTTGGCAAAGACTACCAAAGTACGCTTCAAAGTAGATTTTCACAACATTATTCTAGATAGGGATATCCATAAATTCTTGAAATGGAAAAATGTGTTCTCTTTTATGCGATTTGGAGGATAAAAGTAACTCTGACAGGCTGATATAAATGTATGTATGATCCAAGTGAACACATTTTTATTGCTCATATTTCTGGATAAAGCAAGTTAAAATCTATTGACTGTCTCCCTTCCCTCACCTCCCCTAATAAAAATCTCAGGGCTATGACTTAAGTCTGACATTCTAAATGTGTTTATTTACTGTGCTCCAGACAGTATACAGAACTCCAGGAATCATATGGTCCAATGACACAATACTATATTAAATTATAAATGATAAAACACAAAAGTAATTAATTTGAGAAATTCAACGCATTTGCCATTTCTCTGCAGAAACTGTTCCTCAGAAGACCCTGCCAGGTTGTTAAGCATAGCTTTCTGAAAACATAGCTTCAAAGGTCCAGAATGTTTCTAATGACCCACTGTCTTCACTTGAAAGGGTAATGCTGATAAACTACATAAAAAATACATAATACAACACAGTGCATGGAAGCTCTCACACGGGTTTTTCTATGCCATATTGCTTAATATACTGCAGATATGTTCAGCCTAACAAACTTCCTTCTACTCACCACTCCTTTATCGCATACTTTTTTTTTTTCAAGGAGGAAAGGAATAGAACTTACACTGTACAATGTGTGAGACTAAGAGTGCAGTGCTGGTATCGTTACATGTTAGCCTGCCCTGTGCCAGGTCCTGCTTCACTTGCAATGCAAATAGGTACCTATGAACAAAGAAGCAAACAAAGAGTTACACAAGGCATAAAGAGAGGGGAAAAGCAGCAGTAAAATGCTGACCCAGTGTTTGGCAACAGGTTGCCCACCCTTATCAGAAGCTGTAACAGTGACTTGAAGTTTTTGAGTTTAGTGGCTGAATGAAACAAAACACTGTGTTACAATTAGAGGTGCACTGATACATTGGTCCATATCATATAGACACCAATAATAGGAAAATTGACATTATTGGCAATTGGCTTTTTTTGGCTGATGTGGCTGATAATGTCACTGATAAATGCTGTGCACAGCTGCAGCATGCACACAGCCAGTCCAGCAGCTTGGATAGCAGCATCTGGCTGGTAAGTGTTGGGGGAAAAGGGGTGGGTGGTAGACTGAGGAAGGGAGGGAGGGAGTGGGGCTGGGCAGGGGCAGGCACTGTCCAGTTGGGGTGGGGCATAAGGCAGAGACACAAGCAGAGCTTCCAGGGGGTATGGGGGGGCAGCTCCTGCAGCTGCATGCACCTCAGGGCAGGCATGGGGGTCATGTACCCCCCCAGATCTATGTGCAGGGCAGTCTCTGTGCGCTGGGGATGAGGACAGCACTGGGCTATTCCCAGCAGGGTGGCTGGGCCAGGGCTGCACTCAGGGCAAGCAGCACTGCTGCTGGGAGGGGTAGCTATGGGGGGCTACAGCTATCCCAAAATTTGTTGTAGCCCCCTCAAGCCCCCTCTCAGCGCCAAAACTGCCCACCCTGAACGCAGCCCTGGCCCAACTCCTCTCCCTCCCCCCAACCCTGGAAAGAGCCCGGCACCACCCCCAGACCTAGCCCACAGTGGCAGCCTGCCCTCACCCCATGCACAGATCCAGGGGGCACATGACCCCCATGCCCCCCCTGGGGTGTACGCAGTGGCAGGAGATGCACCCCCCCACCCTTCGCCCCCCAGATGAGCCACTCATGGCTCTGTCCTATGCCCTGCCCCAGCTGGGCAGCACCTGCCCAGTCCCAGATCTACTCCCTCCCACACCATAGGGGGCCTCGATCTGTCCCCCCACACCCTTTCCCTCCAAACAGACTTACCAGCCTGATGCCAATCGGCAATGGGATCGGGATCGGCCAATATGGCTTGTTAATAATCTGCCATTGGTACTGACCCACAAAAATCTTTATTGGTACACCCCTAGTTACAGTTGTCAGGATTTTAAATACACCCCTTTTTACATAGCCAAGATATGCTAAATTTATTTTATGAACTAATAAGCAGGGATCCTACTTTTCTCTGATAAAAAGAAGTCTGAAATTCTCTGCTTTAAAAAACCCCTCCAAAAATCCATATTTTTCCATGATTAAACAAAATGCCACTATATATTATTTGGATTGATATGGCATTGTGTTTTAGTCATGGAAAATGTGGATTTGGGGGGGGGGTTTAAAGCAGAGAATTTTGGATTTTTTTTAACCAAAGAAAACCAGAATCCCTGCTAAATAAGCACTGGAAGTGAAATGACATGCAGCTACAATGAGATAACCATTATGAGTGCTAACAGACATGGAACTCCCCACCCCGTCTCCCCTCCAAGCAGTGGTTTACCAGAAGAGGAAGAGAATTAGTTCAACCTGACTTCCTAGCATCTCTATAGATCAGGTGCTTCAGCGGGGATTTTTGGTGCTTTTATCGAAAGCTGATTCAATCAGCTACTATATTCACAACATGGCTGTGATTTAGGTAAGTTCTATTATCCTCATTCAACAGATAGGAAATTGATGTGCAAAGAGACTAAAGATAAATAGGAATTTGAGGACTAAATAGGTGCCTAACTTCTCACTGATATTTCAATGGGAATTGAGGTTACTAGCGCCATATAGGATCAGACCCTAAAGTACAGCTTTAATTGAAAATCAGCAACCAGAAATTTGGCTTTCTTCCTTTTGTTAGTGATTGGTCTCAATCTCTTACCCATCTTTTGGTACCCTGCCACCCATGCACCATTTCCTTTTCAATAGCACATATCTTGTACAATCATGCACTTACTCAAATCAAATTTTCTGGGATCTCTGGCTTTGCATTCTGGAATGCCATGAGATGCCCACCGGTCAGATATTTAGAATGGAAGGCTCAGGAGCAAGCCCCCAGTCCCTGTTTTGCTCTTTTGGTTGGTGAATGGGGCTAGGCATCTTATTCTTGATCTTCTCCTAAATGTTCTATTAGTTCTTTGAATATTTTATTACATGTATAAACAGCTCAGGGAGGATTTCGTAGATACACCACTGGCTCTTAAAGAAGTGTGCAATTTGGTTGAGACTTACTTTTCTCTGAATCAGAATTAGCAAATTAATTGACAAGACTTTGTTACATCAATCTGGGATTTTAATTATACAGTAAGTTTTTGCTGCAAGTTTCTAGGGGGTTGGCAATTTCTTTAATAGGAAACCATCACTCATCTCTAGGGAGCTAGCTTAGATAAAACTGGTAATAAAAGAAAGTGCTATTGTGTTTTACGGTTATTGTCTCATATGTGCCTTGGAGAATAGCGTGTGCTACAAACATTGATTATTATTTAATAGTAATACTTGCTATTATTTAATAAATAGATAAACAGAGAAAGAACATTACAAAAGTAAAATGAATTACCATATTTACCTGAATCCAAAACAAATTTGTATTTAAGATGCCCCCCCAATAATTAGATTCTATACATGGAAAATGTTTACATTTGTTATGATTTTCCATATACAGAATCTAATTATTGGAGGGTCATTTTAAATTCAGGTCACCCCCCCCCCCCCCCCTCCTCCCCGAGGGCACAGAGAAGAAAAG